GAGCCCGCTCTGCCTCTCCCGGGTGGGTTGTGTGGGGCTGGGGAGCCGGGAGGGCTCTGCGCCTCCTTCTCGGCTTTCCAGGATAAAACATATAAACTTTGGATGAGTTTGTGCCTTTTCCATACGAATCCTTATTGCACGGTGATCCTTGTACGTGTGTGATACCGGATATAACACAATTATTAATCTTTATTCCTTCTGAGACCATCTGTATCCTTAACCCCTTAAAAACTTCTTTGTTTTCAAGTGATATTTTACCTACAAGGATGAAATGAACTGTTAAATTTCTTTCAGTCACCTTGACCATCCTGAGTACAGTATTTGGAACAAACCTGCACTTTCAGCTCTTCAATTTATACTTTGTGAGGTTAAAAAAGCAGCTTGGGTGACTAAATTACATAGATAAGACAATTTGAAGTGCTTTCAGCTTGTAAAATTCTTTGGTTGCCTGTACCCATTCTAAATGTTAATTAAAATGTTAAATGTTAATTAATTAGTTAATTAACAAAATTAATAATAATATTAATATATAATATTAATTAATAAAAATAAATGCAAGGAGAATGGCTTCCTCCTCTTGTTCTATTGAGTTTATTTGTAGTTGTTTAGTTCAGTTCCATTCATTGTTTAGTTTTTCGTACTAAACTGTGAATAATAATACTTATCTGTGAATAAAAAACCAGCTGCCCTTTTCTGCTGGTTCTGAAATCCAAATTTAGCAATATTTGTGTCTTTGAATTACATTTGTGCTGCCAAATGGCAGCAGTTCTCACCTGAAATCCTGTTCTCGCAAAACCAGGGTGCTGAGGTTCCTCTACAACTAATAAGGAGATGGAATTTCTTGCTCTTCTTATATATATATGTATATATATATTTTTCCTGCTACTAAAGTTTCAATATACAGGAAGTTTTCCTTATTATTATCTTTTTTTTTCCCAGAACCTTTATTTTCTGCCTCCTACTTTTCCAGAGGTGGTGCACATAGGTGACAAATGTATTTGAAAAGCAGCATGTTGAATAGCTAAATGGTATTTTTTTAGGAAAATAATAAAATTACATGACAAAAGTAATAAAAAAAAAAAATCCTAGATTAATTACAGTGTATGAGAAGATCACACAGAATGGTGGGGTTGGAAGGGACCTCAGGAGATCATCCAGTCCAAAGCAGGTTCACTACACCAGATATTTCAATGCAGGTGATCACTTGTGGTTTTGTTTCTTTTCCCATTTAGGTTGATTAAAAAGATGAGTGAAAGATTCGAAGAGAAACCTGGATAAAAAGCATGACAAGCTCAATAAAAGACAGCAGTACCTGCTCTCCTGACTCAACAGTCTCTTCTCTTTTAGCAAGCTGTAGCATGGGCAGCAATAATCTGTACTCAAACAGTTTGATTCAATACAAGGACAAGCTTTACAGCTCCGCATCTGAAGCTTTGGAGGCTTATATTGAAGATTTTGATTTAAGCCTCACATCTTCAGAAGTAAGCACTGGCAAAATCTGCATATGTCAAAGCACTCCCCAAAAAGTTAAGTTTTCAAAGCATCGTGCCAAAGCAAAACGTGGTATGTCTTCAAAGAGGCCTTTTGATAATCTCTGCTGCTTATTATTCTTCTTTTCTTTTTAATTTTTCATTGCCAATGTTATTGTATCTCCTTGTCTCACACCAGGTGTGTTTTGTCCAAGGAATAGTCCCTGCACAACCACTTGTAAGTCTTTATGGTTTAGTAAATGATGTTTAGTCATGGCTAGCAGTATTTGGCATTCTCTATAATGCTTTTTTTTTTTTTTGGTAAAAACTTGGTGGATTGGTGAGAATTCATGACCACGCTCATAGATGCAATAATAAAGCCCATAGTATGGAATAGAAATTGTATTTTATATATGTAAATACATACTAAAGAACAGTGTAAATCAGTTTTTAAACCTGAGTCTTGAAAAAAAATATATCTATTTCCTTTCCAGATTAAGTAATATTAGAATCTAATTAATTGAAGTCCTGATTTGTCTTAGAAAAAAATTTGCCTCTTATCCATTGATTTTTATAGAATGTACTTTTGGGTTTATAGTCTAACCCAACTATGTAATTTAGGTTTGAATTGGCTTTTGTCATTATTAGTTAGCTTAAATAAAGATTTAATTGATTCTCTGAACTTTTCTAGAGAAGATTTAGAGTCGGTCACTGTGCTTGAGCTGATTTCTATTGCAAATTAAATCTAAAATAACAAAGTCCTAAGTAGAGACAAACTTTGTACCTGAAAGAGGATCCTTGCCTGGGTTGCACTGGCAGTTAGGGGAGTATATTTTATTATTCAGGGCTTTTTCTTCTTTCACTGTAGCCTATAACCTTCCTCTAGCTTCATACTTTTCATTATTTCCCTTATCAAAAGTTATTTTTTAGCTGTGTTTAGCTTTTGTTTCTATTTTTCTAATAGAAAACACCTTCTACTTAAGTTCTGCCAATTTCCCAAACAAAAATAAGCATTCTGATTATCACTAAAACCAAGAAAACTTGCAGTGAAAGATATAATCTCATATTTTTGAGATATTTGCTGAATTTTCTCCCTGAAATTTCTCCACTGCAAAAGAATCATGAGCTTTGTTCACATATTAGCTAGTCTGTGTGTATGTTTTGTATGTTGTTGTGCTGTGTAATACACAATTTCACTGACTATTATAGTGAAAATGAGGAAAAAACAACTTCCAAGTACTAACTGAGGAAAACCTATTTTTGTGAATCAAAATGCTTCGTAGTTTCAGTTAAAAAAATATATTAAAAAAGATTTAATGCTATAATTCTTCCCTGAAAAACTGCCAAGTCCAATCTTTTATAGCAGGTAGAGTCACCAAATGGATCTATAGGCCCATTATCTGGCTATTTGCCCTGCAAACTTTTGCTTTTACTCACCTTTTTTTACTCACTTTTTTAGTAAATATACTAAATTTCAATATAGAGAAAGTAATTCCTAATATTGTGGAGGAATTGCCACTGTTAGGACTAGTGGAGGAATTGTCACTATTAGGACTAAAATACTAAGGACATAGTTGCAAAAATAGACAATTCTGAATGTGAAACTAAAAAAAATGGACTGTAGAAAGTTGATTTCCACTTTCTTTTAAATAAAAAGTTCAAAACAAATATTCAAAACTAATGTGTGCTGTGAAAGGAGAGGTAACTTTAGTCTGGTAAAATTTTTATCAAGATGATGATTAGAAATGGAACTACTCTTGCAAAAACTGGAATTCAGTAATTGAATTACAATTGGTAATTGGAAATAAATTGGTAAATAATTTGGCTTTAAATTCATGTTCAATCTTACAAATCTAGCATTATCATAGAATCCCAGACTGGTTTGGGTTGGAAGGGACCTTAAAGCTCATCCAGTCCCAACCCCCCTGCCAGCAGCAGGGACACCTTCCACTAGACCAGGTTGCTCAAAGCCTCATCCAACCTGGCCACAAACACTTCCAGGGAGGAGCAGCCACAGCTTCTCTGGCCAACCTGGGACACTGGCTCACCACCCTCACACCAAACAATTTCTTCCTCACATCTCAGCTCCATCTCCCCTCTGACACTTTCAAGCCATCACCCCTTGTTCTCTCACTCCCTGCCCTTGGCCAAAGTCCCTCCCCAGCCTTCCTGGAGCCCCTTCAGGTACTGGGAGGCCACTAGAAGGTCTCCCCGGAGCCTTCTCTTCTCCAGGCTGAACAGCCCCAACTCTCTCAGCCTGTCCTCACAGCAGAGCTGCTCCAGCCCTGGCATCATCCTGGTGGCCTCCTCTGGACTTGTTCTAGCTGCTAGTATGCCTGAAGTTTAGTAATTCCTGTAAAATATCTTTATCTTTCAGCATTGGATGATTTTGATCAGCGTGTTGGATTGGTTTCTCCTATCTCACCCTCCAGAAGGCAGGCTGAGTGTGACCCAGACCTGCTGAGTCTGACCACCGATGATCTGTTAGCGTTCCCAGCAGACGGATCGCTGCCCTTTGTCCAACCTAGTCCTTCAAAATCAAACCAGCAAAGTCGTGAGTGGAACAAACCATCTCTTAAAACATCTTTCTGCCCTCAAAGCTCAACGCTGAATACTGAAACCAGTTGTGCTTTCCAGGAGAATGGGGAAGCTCTTGCTCACCAGAATCCACCTAAAAACTTGAGGGGAAAGAAACACAACGTGTGTACACCTGATAAGTGTGATTCTCTCTTGGCTTTTGAAGCAAACTCTAACACTTTTAAGAATTATCCAAGGTGGCTTACCCACCAGAAATCTGATTTAAGCGTATCAGGGTTAAGCAGTCTTCCCAATTTTCCTTACCCACTTTGGCTTAAGACTTACAACCTTTTTTCTGATTCAGCTCAAGAAAACACTGGTCAAACTTTTAACATAGAAAGCAAAGCTTCCTCTTGTCCAACTTCTGAGATCCTGAAGAAAAGACACTCTGGAGCTGAAAACAGTTGGAGTTTTCTGGAACAAAATGATTGCCTGGATCCGAGAGGTGATAATAAAGTAAAGGAAAGTTGCAGCTATGCCGGTCCAGATGCGTGCTTCCAATTAGATAACTCGTTCTCAAGACACATAAAAGGTCACTATATCTCCTATAATTTGGTTTTTAATTTTGAGGAGATGTATCTAAAGACATTTACCTTTATTTTATTAAACCAGCACTCTTGCCTTGTTAGTCTGGCTGCGCTGTGCAGGAGATTTATTCCCTTCCATCTCTGACACATGACTCCAAACACTCCCTACTAATTGACCAAATTAAGCAGCTTTTATACTCTTTAAGTTTTCAGATATAAATCAATATTTAAGCATTCCTTTTACAGCCAGGTATTTATTAGTGGTGTATTTACTACCATCCTGCAAGGCAATGACAGTAATTCCATCAATATTTTAATAGGATTTCAAGCATTAAATTAAATTACATGAAGTGTTAAGCTTGGGGGAGAGAGATTCCTAAACACAGTGTAAATAAACCTGCTAAATCAGTAAAAAATACCATTTTACTGTTTATTGTGCAGTCTTTTTCTCCACTTTACACATTTTTAACCTCTATATTTAGGTTATCCAGTGTCTTCAGTGTCTATAAAGACTTTTTTTTGGGGAATCTCTTGAGATTTGTAGCTACTCTTTGCTCTTCAGAAGCAGGGAGGTCCTGTGGTGAAGCACCATCTTTGTTGTATGAAATATCAGGAAGATTTGCTTTGATATGAGAGATTAACCTTTCAAAGTGTTAATTACCTCCTCTTCTGTCCAAGTTTATTAATTTAAATTATATTTTTTAATACAAAACATAAATATTGATCTCCATTTAAAAATATTTTCTGTTGTACAAAGAATAAATGTTGTAAATTTATTTAAATAAATAAATGATTATAAATCATAAATAAATAATTATAAATTATTTAAATAAATTTACAAATTTAAATAAATTACTAAATAATTTCCTAAAT